AGATGCACCACAAAAGGGATAGTTTCATGTCGTGCCTTTATTTCTTTGAATGTAGTGGAATAGTTTGAAGTAGCCGAAATTTTGTGAAGATGTTGGGCAAAACAACAGTAATTACTTTAGATTCAGTTAGGAAGCCATCGTTATCATCTTTAAGGGAGGTAATGAGTGGGCTGTAACCGCGTCCTTTAATTTTTTTGATCGTGTCCCAATAAATAGAAATAGGGGTATTAGAATTAGTAAGTTCCAAAAACTTCTTCCAGGAATTTTTTTTTACTCATTCTAATGACATATCGAGCATGCTTTTTTGCCGCATTATAATTTTCTAAATTTTCACTGGAAGGCTGTCTTAGGAAAACACTAAGACATTTTTTCCTATTTTTGGTCGCTTGCCGACAGTCTTCATTCCACCAGGGAACTGTGACCTGATTTATTCTTTTTTGTTTATTCCGGGGGACCGGAAGACTACTCTTGCTCCTTCTAAAAGTTTATTGTTAAGGTCATCAATTAAGGAGTCAATTTCAGAATTATCAATATCTAAATCATTTAGGCTTATGCTGTGTTGAAAGAGAGACCAATCAGCCTTTTTAATTTGCCAAGTGCCAGGTCCCTGATAACGATTTTTCTTTAAAAAGGTATGAACGATAATCGGAAAATGATCAGAACCATGTGAGTCTTTTAGACTTTCCCATTTCATCAAAGTGGGTTGCAGAGTTGGGCTTGCAAGACTAAGATCTATTACTGAAGTTTTGCCGGACCTAGAACAAAAATGTGTTGGAGATCCATTATTTAATAAGTTTAATTTACATCTATCTATAATTAATTCGACGGACTTTCCTGAAGTATTCGTTTTATCCCCTCCCCATAATGGGTTGTGGGCATTAAAATCACCAAGAATAATGATGCGTAGTGGAAGTTGATTGTGAAAGCTACAAATAACTCCTCAAATGTTACTAAGTCCCCCCTAGGAAGGTAGAGGGAACAAACCGTGAATTGAGGAGGGGTTAGTATCCTGGCAGCTATGATTTGTAGTCCAGAATCTAAGTCAATTTGCGAGTATGGAATGTCATCTCTAATTACTAGGCCGACACCACCACAAGCAATCTGGCCGTCAGTACAATCCTTTCTAAGTAAAGAGAAATTTTTAAAGTTAATTTTATTAGAAGGCTTTAGGTTAGTTTCCTGTAAGCAGTCAAACTTTGATAATAAATGTTGAAGTTCATTTCGCTTCAATATAAGGCCATCCATATTCCATTGTAATATTGACATAAATAATTGAATAGAAATAAAAATTAAGAACTATCAATCAAAGGATTTCGGAAATCATAAAATTACTATTATACTTTGTAATGAAGAATTTTATTTGTAGTACATTGGTTATGAAATCTAAATTTACTATTTTATTGTGTACTTTGTTGGTTTGTTGTTGTTTTATTCTGTTATTTGCAGTATTAATTATGTTTGAAGCTGTTGATGAAGTCGAGCTCTGGGAGATAGGTCGTTTAGTACTTATATTTTCCAAATTTAACTTTGGATTCTTTGAGATTTTTGTAATCTGAGCGTTACCATTCAAGGAACCATTAGAACAGGAGTTGCTTTTGGGAGGCATAGATACGATAAGTTCATCTTGTGGGGATTGAGGAATGGGAAACATATGTTTGATTTGTGGTTGAGGCGGTTGTGTTGTAAGTACTTCATTTGCGAGAAAATGAACAAGCTTTGTGAGTTTTGAAATTTCACCAACCAAGGAATCAATTTTGTGTTTTGTGATGGGCAGGAAGAGGGGGGAAGGGTGTTGAAAAGATTGACTTGGAGAAGATTGAATAGTGGGAGCAGGAGGAATTGAGGTTGTGGTGGATGAAGAAGAGGGTAGAGGGTTACTAAATACACTAGAAGATGCTTGTGCATATGAAGTTAATCTATCTTGAGGCGATGAACGTTATTTGAATAAAATTTCAGCCTGTTTAAAAGACACTTTTTCACTTTGACGGATGTTTTCTATTTTCTTTTCTGTAATGTAAATTGGACATTGTTTACTATAAGCAGAGTGAGACCCATTACAATTTATGCAACAAGGCTCATTGGAGCAGTTAACAGTTTCGTGAGACGATTCACCACATTTACCACAGTTTTTGGTGTGACAATATTTACCTAAATGCCTATATCGAAACAAGAGTAACATTGCATTGGGTTGGGACTAAACGGGCGTAATATGATTTGAAGAAAATCTAAGAGAATTTTCTCAAGGATTTCAGGTTTCTGCAATGTAAGAAACAATGTAGGGGTAGGGGAGGGGTTTACCATTTTCAGTTTCACTCACTCACTTCAGTCACTCTTTGTACTTTAGTTTCTCCTTGAGATTCTAGCTCTGATAAAATCTCAGCTTCAGGACAATTTAGCAACTCAGGAGCAAACGCAATCCCTCTAGAAAAATTCCGCGTACGATGTAATGTAAACTTTACTTTCAAATTTTCATAGGTGTTGATGTTTTGGAGATTGAAGTAGTCTTTTTCACTGTTTATGTCGAGAAGGACAGATCCATTCCTTAAAAACTTCATATTTATTGTCGGGGCATAACTTCTGACAAACCGACAGACCTTAAAAGGACTGAAGTTGTTAAACGAAATATTTTCTTGATCAGACTCTAAGGACATGAGAACATATTTTCTGCACCATTTCATTTTGGTTTTTATAAAAGGGCCTTTGTCCGGGGGATCAGTTTTTAAGATGGATTCATTGATTTCCATCACAAAATTAATAATAAAACAAAATTTGAAAAATAAAGTAAAACACTTCTAATTAATATAAAAATAATTATAAAAAGAAAATTATTCGGGTATGAAAAATCTATGTTATACTCCCTAATTTAATAAGGATGGAAGAGATAGCACAATCTAGATGTTTACCGGTCAAAGGACAAACACCGACTTTTCCAGCTCTGATGATTTTATATCATTGTTTTCTCTCCTTAGTATTTTTACATCCTTAAAATTTATATCATGTGCTGTATTTGTGATATGTTGACTTAAACTTGTGTTGTCTTTCTTATTTTTTACATCTGTTTGTGTTGGTTTAGCATTTTTTATACAAATAGTTTTGTTTTTCCTGCATAGGTTGTTTTGATAGGTGCATTTTAACTTATTCACTATTTTGAAGTTTTTTATTTTTCCTATGGATCTTTTATGAGAGGTAATAAATTGTATACCTTACCACTGACGTATTAATAAATTGAAAAACCTTTAAACATTTATTTATTTATTTTTTTTTTTTTGGCAAACTGTATATTTCATCTTATTCAATCTTTTGTCCTTGTTTTTCTTCATTAGTATTAAACTTTTTTTAATTTGTCCTATAAGTTTTCTATATCATTTTTTGGATAATTTATTTGTAATAAAGCTTTTTTAATGTTTTTAAGTTACATCTGTGAAAAGGAAGGTATATCTGATAATTCATACATTTGTCCTACTATATTTTTAATAATATTATTAAATAGCATATATTATAATATAATGTACATATTATAGTTACTCATTTTGGTCAGTGGCACTATTTTCAGTCTGTGGCTATATGTTTTAATGCTACCGTTTTGTTTGGGTAGGGGCGATGTATGATGATCGACGTTGGTTTTCTGTATATGTCGAATTGTAGTTTGTTATCAGTTGTAGTGATTATTTGGTGCAGGAAATGTATACTGTTATTGTTTTCTAGTTCTGACTTAGATGGTATGTTTTTGTGTAAGGAGTTGAGGTTGTTTTTGTTGACGTCTACATTGGAGAATATACTATCAACTGTACATGTGTGTGTGTGATGATGTGCTTTGCTATAATTTGGTGCACGCATTTCTCTTCAATGTTTTTCCTTCTTAATCTTCAATTTTGAAAATGTAATAATTTGTCAAGGTTCAAAACATCAGGTCATCTTGATTTAAATGATAGATCTTTTTTCGGCCAGTTTGTCTTTGAATGGGTATTGCAGTCATGTTTACAGGTTTATGTCAGACTTAATTGAATTTGAAAGCAAAATTCGTTCCACGCTAAGACGGATAGAGCTGTAGGGGGGGGGGTTGAGAGGGAGGGATATGTAAAGCGCTGTGTGACAGTGGTATGTGACATGTGGCATATTTACCCTACGGGTTAAGTTTGTGTGCCTGGAAGCGGAGGGAGTCAAGTGGTGAGCCTATGGCATACCTGATGAGGCTATATCATGGAACAAGGGTGCAAACTCAGCATTTGTATTCCACCCGCCTTAGCTACCCCTCCCCGAGTAATGTCTAAACACATCAAATCATCCCTACATCCACTCCTCCCCGCCGACTTGTTTTGAATGCTAAATTCGCCCTTCGTCTCGGCCGAAGCACACACAATGTGCAATTCATTTGAATTTCCCCTCTCTCCTTCGTTATGGTAATCCTAGTCCTCTTCTCCCTTCCTAATATGCAGATTACATCTCCAAATGATTCTGTTCCCTGCCTTTATAACTGATTTATATCTCGCCTTCCCCCGGTCCTCTCCCTCAATTACCTACTATTAATTTCTCGCATCCCCTTTCACCTTCGGTTTCAATTTCTTCCTCGGTCTTCATCAACTGAAGATTTTTTAACTATACCACTACTGTTTACCCTTTTTTTAGATTGAAATAAAAACGAGATCAGCTCCTAATAATAGTTTCCGAGTTAGTAAGAAATGCGAATTTAGAGGAGTTAACATAGTATTTAGGCTAATTAAGTTAAGCTCGTACCGCAATTAAACGTATCCGTTAAGACAATGTTATTCGAAGGTCTTAATCCTAAGGCGTTAATTTCACCCATGCTTTAGTTCTATTATATTTGTTTTCTAATTTAGTCTTCTAGCAGTGTTAGTATAACTGACTGTTATAAAAAAAATTTAAAAAATTGTTTATCAGTTGTATCATTGAGAAAATATATTATCTGAAAGTTCACATATTGTACGTTGGTTTCTTGACAATTTGCTTTGCGTTCTTAAGTATCAAGTATTCTTTAGTTCTCAGTATTCTGTATTTTCTGTTTTAGGCAGAGCAGGCGACCCAAAATGCTGAAGACCAAGGAAAGGAGCACAAGCCTCTCCAAGTTAACGGGTTCCGCACGGTGAGTCAGTTTTCTTTTTCCATGATTTTCCATTCAAGGTGGCCTCAAAATGCGATTGCTTTCATATTTTCATTGTCTTTTTAAATATTATAATAATCTTCTTGGTTAATATCAAGCGTTAATAAATATATTCTTCAAAATTATATTTTACCTATTAAAAAGTAAATCGTTATTACATAAAGAAGCCGTAACGATTCCGACTCCTGCTTGGAAATAATTTATGTTTCGTTGTGGACAATGTTGGGATAATAAAGGATAATAAATGTACTCGACCCTACGGCAAACAAGGGGCATACCGCTATACAATCTTGCCTTGCCCCTTGTTGCACACCGGGTTTATAGTTTCTTCTGTATTATGTAGAAACCTCAGGTCTGTTTGTTGTAAGTCTTAAATGGACTTGGCGGAGTTGCAACGGTGCATTATGTCGTGTTTCTTGAAAATAGAACTCGTAACGTACAAAGGACTCGTTGACTTAACATTTGAACTAATGAAAATAGTTTTCTTCATTTTGAATATTTACCATTTTATCAACATTTTTGACCTATCATTAGGCATTTGAATGGATAACACTTTCCTTACAGGATTAATGGATAACAATTTTCTGTTTGTTTGTCGAAGCTTGACACATTATAGTGACTAAATATCAAGTTCCTTGTGAACTAATGTAGAAAAAATCCAATTTTTTTCTCGTGGCTAAAAGGTCGGGGGAGTTAGCAGTTCGCCATGCCCATGGAAAAGTGTTTGCTGTGTTTCTTCATCAAAAAATACCTTTTTTCACCAAGCCTATTTGTTGACAGTATTGAAAATAATGTGGATAGGTTTATGGTCGTTTGGTTATCGCCAGTTCTCTCATTCTCTGTTCTTTTTCATTCCTTATAGTATTTTATTTCCTCTAATACATTTTTCTGGCTCTGCAGCCAAGTTTTATTAAGGCATATTAAGTTTTGGGTAGTAAGGTAATTGCCTCTCTCACTCCCTATACTATAGACAACCCGTCTCTACCCTCAGGGTCTCGTCAGTCGAAAATAAAATAAATAAAAATATAATAAACAAAAAGTACTTATATAGAATAGAAAATATAAATATATACATTTAAAAAGATGTTAGTCTTGTTATCAGTCATACTGACCCAGAGTACTTGATATTATTCACGCACCAGACTTCATTCATATTGCCTGAGAGACCTTTATATTTCTCGGTGTGATTGAGGTAGATGACACTCCATTCGCGATAATGAAAGACGTTCACACGCCAGGCTTCTTCACACTGCCCCGGAGTACTCGATAGCCTCGGGGTTATTGGGCAACACCAATAGGGCGACGTACTTGATATTCTTCCATCGCTATACTCACAATGTAACTAATATGGTACATAATAGTCCAACAATACCCACCCCCATTTGAGACGCATAGTGATAGGTATTTATTTTCTATAAACGAACGCAAGAGAAAGACTGCTGAGGCTCATTATGTAGGGCCAAAGTTAAGGTTAAAGGTAGGTTGACGCTTTACAACCAATATTGATATATGTGCATTCTCCATTAATGTATGGTGTTTTAGTGACCGTTAGCCAATGATTGTTTGTAGATCGTGAGATGCGGTCTTGAGACTCTCAACGTGACACACAAGTATGACACATCTACACAGAAAACAAACTTTTTGAGCCCTGAAGGTGATTTCAATAAAGATCGAACGTTGGCACGATAAAGAAAATGTTTTTCTAAAACCTACGTCACACCAGACCGCATCTCATTATCTCAAAATAATTCTCCATTAAATTATTGAGTTCTTCGTTAAGCTTATTATTTTGCACTATTCTCAGCCTTTGTTAAGGGCTCAGGAGTTTCTGCGATAGTCCTTAGATGAAATTTTTCACAAGCCTATGTTGCAACCAAAAGTCGTCCTATTATGTGCGATACGAAGACCTGCAAGTGGAACTCGTACGAACTGGGCTTAACAGTAAATTGATGTTTATGTAATGCATCTGGCCTTTTGCTAGTCTAGCCTGAGTCAGGTTTACCCAGGGTAAACAATTTGTCATAATTATCTCATCAATTCCATACTAATATATAGATTAAGATCTTTATAATTAAATTAAGATGCACACAGATTATTTTAATCAAACGTCATTACATTCTGAGGTCATCTCGTGGTTATTTTAATACTTAGATATGACAAATTAGATTTAAAACATTGTTAAAACCAATTTTTATTATCTTTTTAAATCTTCAATAGGCTAAAAAGAAGAATGGAGTGATAAGTACGAAAAATATAAATTTCTTTAACGGCAAGGAGAGTAATAACAAAATGGTAAATTGTATTTTTTTTGTAATATTTCTTTTGAATGTTTTAGATTTCCTGTCCAACTATTACCTTGTGTAGCACTTCGCTTTGTAATTTTAAAACCTTTGGAAGATTTTCACTGTAAAATTCGTTTAGCGTGACAATTCTTCTCAGCCACAATTTTTTCTTTTTTTGTATAATTATTTTTCTTCTAACAAAAGATTTTTGTTTTCTTCTCCAACTTCAATTTTTATAAAACTTATAATTTTTATCATTCATTCAATTGGTGTTCAATGTATGCAAACATTAAATACCAAGCATGCTTTTTTTAAGCGAAGCATAACATTTAAAAATAATTAATTCTTTTAGAATTTTGAAATGTGTCTATGCTTTTCTTTTACGTCTTGTTTGATCCTTTTAGTTATTTGCAACTCAACCATTTCTCGCAGTGATTAAGGGTTTTTATTATTAACTAACTTTTTTTTAGGCTGACAAGAGTGAAAGGGCCAATGACAAGCCAGGCGTTATGCGTGTGCCCAAAATCAACGGCGTATTAAAGGTAAGATTTTCAATTAGTGCCAACGAGTTATTTCCGTTCGAGTGAATTTGTGCTAAACTGTATTATCTCGTCTTCTACTCGTTATGAAGTTTTGAAACGTGTAGGATAAAATTGTTCTGATGGCGTGATGAAGAGGTGGAGGACGAGGTGTTGGGGTGTAATGAGAAAATTACCACGTTTCTCAGCCGGCTCGAAAGATTAACAACTTTATTTCATTATTGCTACCGGCGAAAATATCCACTTCCCTTCCTTGCACAACTTAACAAAAAGTTCTAAGATTACGGATTTCATTTACATAAAAAGACCTAATGCCATAAACAACGAAGTCATATAGTTATTAACTCTAACCATTGTGAATTTACGCCAGATTTGCAGTTTGATTAAGACGATATCCCTTTATAATCTATCCCTTCATGAGGATACGGGTTTCAGCTTAATTGTAATTGATTTTCATTTATGCACGAGGAAATCACTACTGATCAAATTATCAAGTTAATCAGTGCCTTTATTTATACAGTAAACTTCAACATGGGTGTAAATTCATATGGTCTTCTCTGTTCGGCCAAGTTTCACATAGAACAGTCAGACGCGTTTTCACTTTTTAAAGGGATCTGCCGGCGTATCTTTTCGTAAATTAAAATGGTATTTACTCAATTGTTATATGTGAAATGTATTATCGTGCTAAAACCTCGGCTTTAGCATGGTAGGAAATAATGATTTTTCCCAAAGACTCCTCGAGTTGATTCGCATAGGACTACGGTTATATTAGGGTTATAGTTAGGTAAGGGTAGGGTGTATGAGTATCATATCCATGATTAAATGTGTTTCCACGAGAGAGATTTTTTTTTCAAGAGTTCAATATATAGTACATATTAAAGTCCTCTTGGTCTATACTTTTTCGTTAACTAGTTGATTATCAACGAGTTAACGAAAAAAATATAAATCAAGAGGACTTTAATATGTACTATATACTGAACTCTTGAAAAAAATCTCTATCGTGGAAACACAGGAAACACATTTAATTAATTAATTTATTAATATGGAAATATGTGTCGGAAAACCCGAAAAAATTAAACTGGATGAGGGGCGGGTCACCTTAGTCATATTCAAATAACACTTGTAATTACTACCTACAATATACAATAATTAATAATTTTCCAATGCTCCAATACAATAAACCCTGTGTTTCTTTCTATGTAAATATATATTATACTGCCCTAACTCCGATAAATACATTTTTTTAGTATTTTAATTTTGTGTGGTTATGTATTTTCTGTATATATTATTTGTTCTAAATTTAAAAGTATGGTTATTAACATATTTTCTCCATGACATGGTTACACAATTTGGCCTTAAAACAAAACAATAAAAGTAATCGAAAATGATAAGTAAATATGTATAAAAAGTGGTTAAAGTGAATCGTTTTAAAATTGTGGTCGTAAAAAAGGTAGTGGTGAAAGAAGGTGAGTTGGTCATTGCTCATTTCTAAATAAACAGGTTCATATAAATCAACCTCTTCAAACATTATTATTTTCTCAAATTATACATATTTTAGTTGTGCTTAGCAAATTTATGAAATGATATAAAAAGATTTTTCTAACCCAATATTTTATGTTGAAACAAAACCACATAAAGAAAAAGTCCGAAAAAAAGTTTCGAAACGCACAGTATATTTTTCATTTTTAAAATTCGCGTTTGGAATAATTAAGAACAACTCCCAATACCACCAGGGATTTTTAAAGGATAGCCAAGTCAGAGGGGCGCAAACAAAATGGTTTTATTAATTATTTCTTTAAAAGTTTCACCAAAAGAGATTTGAGGGGAGTTTATTGATTTAAGGGAGTCAAAGGGGAGTTGCGAGGCTGTCACGAAGTCTGGCACAATCTCGAAAATTACTTTGTGAGGAAGGAGGAGGTAAGGAGGAAGGAAGGAAAAGGGGGCGGGAAGGCCACGAAGGGGGTGACGAGGTAATACAGTGCATAGCGGAGCTTAAGTAATTGGAGGAGCTAATGTTTCACTTAGGAGTTGATTAATGATCCCTGGAGGGGTTGTTTGGAGGAGGGGTCGGTCAAAGTTTCCTCCTCCCGCCTGTGTAATTGGACTTGTAAACTCCTTGCTTCTCACGCTTTCCCTCTTCCTCATCCACCCCTTTAACAAAAAATTTATTTAAGAAATCACTTTTCCCCCGGATGGTTCGCATAAAATGTTTTCTTAAATAATTACACTTTTCTTTCTGCTATAACAACCCGTCTTAGGACTTTCTTTTTCAGGTTTATGGTCCAAATCATACTACACTGAGAGGCAAAAAAAAGTGGCCATACTTAATATTTTTAATTATCTCTTAGACAATCCTGTATTGATGTATCTTAAAACAATATTTGGTTAATCTTCAATTTTTACCTGCACCCATATTGATTACATGTATTTATAACTGATTGTTTTACAAGGCTGGACAGATAGATTAGGACAGGATAAAGGAACGTTCTTTGTATATTATCGATCGCCAGGAGTTTCCAATCTCCTGTAAAGTTTATCGGTTCTTGATTCGGGAAGTCGTGTAGGATCTGAACCATTAACTGTGTTGGTTCTCTTGAGATATTTCTTCTTGCATTCTGATGTTAAATGTACATTTACCTACATTTCTACACACATTTTGGGTCTACATTTAGAGGTATTGCATTGATAAGTCCATCGACGATTGTACAGTAGAAAAAAAATTTCTTCGTTTGTGGCCCATTAGTGATTGACTTCCTCTTTTTTCCCCACCCAACTATGCCCTTTTCTCTCCCATTGATGTCTCACACCTTTATGGTGAAGTTAATAGTACTGCCTCCAGTCATCTGTCTTGAGTTGTTTCTTTTACTGCTGGATCCGCTTCTTCTTTACTCTTATCCAAGTGAGAACTTGTACGTTTCCTTTGCTTATTTTCTATCCAAATTCGTTTATTATATTCATAGTACTTCTGATTTCCGAGACCATTAAGCTCTCCTGTATGTTCTTTCACCTTTCATCCCACACAGGTATGATCTCTCTGCCATTCATGCCACCTAGCTTTATAGTGCTGCTTCCAATCCTGTGTCTTGGAATAGCTCCTTTTGCTTTGAATATTTTTAGTTGTTCTTATAGTCGACGTGAGGTTGTACGGGTTTCCACGTTATACTTATTGTCCTGTCCATACGATGTGGGAGACAAATTGCCTCCTATCTTTGTAATTTTAGCTCTTGCCCAAAGTGATTTGACTATCAGTCATCATTTATAGAGCTTTTTATGTTTTGTCATATCCATTCATGCAGTGAGAAAATTAGAAAATGAGTGAGTTAAAGAGAGGAGAGAGTGAATTGTGAGTGAGTGAGAGAGAGTGAGAGAAAGAGAGAGAGAAAGAGAGAGAGAGAGAGAGAGAGAGAGAGAGAGAGAGAGAGAAAGTTACATAGTCGTAGCTGATGGATACAATAAATTTGATAAAACTAAACATCATTTTCATAAAACCCTTTTATTTTACTATTAGTTTACAACTTTCAAGCTGTTTTGCGAAGCTATCAAGAACCACGATATTCGACAAACTTCACTGATATTTTTTGTTTAAATTAATTGCTTTACCAGTTACTTTTACCTGTGGGGCTTCGAATAGTTCATAGATTTGAATATTACATTACAGATTATTTTTCTGGCAACGCTGTAACATTTGGATCTTTCCGTTTTGTCCACCAGCTTCATTGAATTTTCTTAAATATTTTTACGCGGTATGGGTTTTCCATATGAAAGGGGTTATCCTCATTGAGATAGTGCTTTTATTTTTTCGAATTGCGATTTGTGACATGTTTGTCCCAATTAAAAAGGTTATAATTTATACGGTATTTTAAAAGACGGTGAATTAATTTTCATTTCATAAAGACATGTAAACAACTGTTAGCATTACTGTCTTTTCTTGAAATATTTTCCTTCTGTCAATAAAGGAAGACAAAGTAAGGGGTTATACAAATGGAGTCGAATAAAAGCTTGGCGCGATACATATTGTTCGAAGAGTATGGAAAATATTTAATGTCGGCGTGTTTGATGTTCCCGAGGGGGAGTCACGAGTCTGGGGGAAAATCGTTGGAACGGGGGAGAGCAATAAAATAGAAGGAGGTGGTTGACTGCGGAGAGCCTTGCAATAAGGGTTCCTCCACGGAGAAAGGACAAATACCACGGGAACAAGTACACACCGGTGCACACAAACATTCACAAATATCACCGCCACGAGCCCCTCCCTTCATAAAATCTCCCTCGGCGAAACCACACATATTACATTTCCCCTTGCGTACTCGGATATTAGATGGAATAAAACGTAAAGGTAAAACAAACTCACAGGCTCGAATTGGAAGTTTTCGCCGTTGGTATAGACAAAACGCACAAGCGGCAACGCTTTTAAAAGAGCCACAGATAATTCAATTTTCTTTGCCGTATTAGCAGGAAACATTTTCGCTTCCAACAAAAAACACCGTTTCTCTTCTATGAAAAACATACTTAATTTGTGAAAATGCTCTTGTAAAGTTGGACATTAATTTGAGTTAATTACTTTTTCCACGTCAAATTACATTAGTCATGTGAAAATACTTAAATGAAAAACGAATAAAACAAGGCGAACTCAGTGGATAAAACCTTTTCTTATTACTGGAATAAAATAATATTCTCCTAAATGACTCTTTTGATCAAAATACATCACTTTGCTGTTTAGTATGTGCTCCGTGTTTTAAGAGGAGTTTCACTTAAAACTTTTTTTTTAAATATACATATTTGTAGCATACACTAATTTGTATATATTACAAATGAGATTCATTGTAGGTTTTTCTATCTCATAGTAACAGCACTGGCACTAATGCGAGCCTTGCCCCCGGAGGACTCGATTATCGTCGATTATGGCGACGTGGCGGTTTCCTGGGATGAGAATGTGTGGAGAGTAATATATATATATATATATATATATATATATATATATATTTTACTACATATATTACTTTAGG